AACACCCAGCGAAGATAACTAACAATAAATATCCTGTGGCTCCAAGCAGCCGTAAAAGTGGATCAATGCCACCGTAATAAAAACAAAACAAAAAAATACGTCGCAAGCATGGACAGTCGAATCAGTAAAATGAGAGCAGACAATAAAGCAAAGATCATAGACGCCTTTGTGGAAATGATGGAAATGATCCAGATGAGAAAAGATTTGTTGTGCCTAATTGCGTGGCATCTGACTCGGCATGCCACATTTTAGAGCGACTGCTGTTCAAAAGAAGGCTGGGGGCGGGGTGGAGGGTGGGATTGCGGGGCTATTGAACCCAAAATTGGCAGCAACATCAAGAAGAGCCAAACAAACACTGCCACCTCCCAAATCTGGAAGACGGTGCCAGTTCATAAAAGCTGCCTTCTGCACTGTAATTTCACTGCCTAATTTATCGGATTGGGCTGTACTTGATGTCTCTCTAAATAGAGAGTGACAAGCTAATTATAGTTGAAGGTAAGAGCAGAGCGACTCAGTCAGAGGGGTGACACTGTATTTGACATCAAAGTATCATTGCAAACCCAGCGTGACCCTCAATGATGGCAAAGGTTGTCGGGTGGCTTTTCGACTTTGAATTTGAACTCTTGCGCTCCTGCTGGTCCAAGGTCAGTGATGTTGGCTATAGTGAAACACAATGGGGCGGCTTTGAGGTTGTTCTGAGGATATAATTGGAAGTAAACAACAGTTTGTTTCTTGATAAGTTTCACCTGTACCATGCGTCATATATCATGCAGGTAATAGCTTCACAGCATGTTTCAAATGGTCAAATATGTCTCTTTATGACACATTAGATTCATGTGATTTTTCTTCTCTCTAATCAGAGAAGAAAAAACAAATCTCCACAGTATTAAAACATTTCAGATTTTAAAAAAAGAATATGGTAAAAAGTGCCACACCTTGAAATACAAAGCATTCAAAATCTTCATTCAGAGAAAAGGCAACTGTGCTTGAGACACATCCCTGAGGAACACTGCTGGCTCCCAAGGACACTGAACACAGACTGAATCAATAGAAGAGAAATTTTTTGCTCCAAAATAAAAAAAGTAATGTTCTAACCGAGAGGAAACAAGCCTGCCCCTCCCCCCTCCCCCCCAAAACCAACAAAAAATCATAACGAAAGGTTTTAGCTTTTTCACAAAAAGTGTCAATGTAACATGATTGATTCTTCGCACAGAAAACGTCAATGTATGTTCTCTGGACTCTGGACGTAAAATGAGATCCTTGTTGGGATAATGTTGAAACTGTCACAGTATGGATGAGACTAGAACAGAGCGAGAGATTTATTTGGAGTGTAATTGCTGTCAGGCATATTTTGATTAGCTATGCTCATCCCTGGCCACAGGGGATGGCGGTGACATGAAGAGAAATGAGCGTGTGACTGTGAAAGAGGGGCATCATTTAACACTGCCTTGGGCACAAGATGCCTCCTCTGCAACTCTTCTGGCACCTCGCTGTTTCATTATGATGAGGCTATTGGCTAAACATACCCGAGCATGTCAAATATCTGCAAACGTGCACTAAACAAATCATTTTTTTTCCATTCCCTCACTGGCCGGGTGCGCTTCCTTTGGCAAATACAACAGTGAACCATAGTGTGGCTTGTAGCCTTTGGGGTACTTTTATTGGGAAAGGGACTTTTTTTTTCTTTTTTCTTTTTTTTTTTTTCACTTGATGGTCTGTGTTACGTGGGTTGCTTTGGAATATGCACACAATGGTCACTAACAGAGAGGTGAAATCAAATCAAATGAAATCTGAAAACATCCAACTTCAAGGTTACACATAGGCAAAGAAGCCTGGCAATTTTGCATTGTCCGTTTGTTAATTATAGTTGCTTGTGATTGGCCTAGAGACCCAACTTAGTTGTGTGGAAAAACTCAAAAGTAAAATTTCCACAATATGTCCCCTTAAAAAAAAACTTTCTCCTGATTTTTTTCCCCCCTCCCAATACTGAAGCCTTTGGTCACATAAACGTGTCTCTTAGATCCAAGGAAAAAAGGCGGATGTGACACTCACTCCATGTTCAGGTGCAGCCTCTCGCAGCGTGTCTTGGCACCACGGGGGCTTAGAGGGGGGAATCAAATCAGACAGAGTTGACGACCCGCTAAGCTTTAGGGTCACCCGTAAAGAGGTGGAGTAGCAGATGTGACGGCCGACTCTCCCAGCATGTTAGCAGATGTTTAGCAATGTCATGCTTGGCCCAGAGCCATGCAAAACCCAAGCATGCAGCAGAGAAAAAAAAGTTGATGATGATGAAAGACAGGAGCTTGTTTTGGGGACATTGCTCATGAAGCTTAAGGTCACCTAGGATTAAAAATGAACTTTCCTCGCTGTTCTTTCAGGACAACTAATAAAATAGTGTTAGGTTTGAGATTTTGATCAGAAAGCACTCATGAGGAGGCTTGTTTTAGGGATTTAGTGTAAATGGAAGTCAACACAACTCGTTGGTGCAGTCGATTAACACTTACTTTCGTTGTCCCCTCATAGAGTTAACCAACACCGCTTACTCAGGCTGGTAATGGGTTTAAAAGGTGTCCTATACATCTCTTTATGAGGGTTTATATTTGCTTTTTGCACTAATTGGCAAAGAAAAACAGTAAAACACTTACCTTTAAAAAAATATACATTACAATGTTAGAAAAAAGTCCCAAAACTTGATACATGAAAGGTTAACAAGCTTATTTTTTTTCAAAGAAGTGCTTTAATAAGAGCAATAATCACAGAAACGGCAAGTGTGCTTGAGACACATCTCTGCGGAACACCGCTGCCTTACACAGACACTGAACACAGACTCAATTGATAGAAGAAAACAGTTTTGCATCCCCCCCCAAAAAAAAATCAGATGACGTGGCTCTTAAAAAAAAGTTCTAAAATTTCAGAAACAATTTGTTGATTTTGTAGTTAACTTTCCAAGATGTTCCTTCGTTTCTGGATGAATAATGCATGGTCTTACAAATATAGGCAGGCGTGAAATTTGGTGCTGATCCAAATCCAGCTTGTTTGGCCTTGGCAAGAGGTCTGAGCTCTCCCGAGTGCCGTTCAAGTCTGTTGTCATGTGCTGATGAATTTGGCGGCTGCCATTGTGACATTTCAAGGTGAACGCTGAACGTCTGATTCAGTGCACGGTGGCATTGAAACATTTAATTGAAAAGAGCTCGGATTGTCGTCACCGCTTCAATCAGTGAGGGTGCTTGACAGAAATACAAACAGTGAGCGGTAAATGAACTATTGTAACAATCAGCTGACTTATTTCATTTTTCCATGAGCTGTCACAAAGGATCAGAGTAACGTCGCAGAGGTCACCAGAGGCCTTTCACGCTCTCTTTTGTGAAACTAGTTTTCACAAATTATTCATCACAGACGTAATTAAGTGACCTTCCTCCATATTATGAATGATTGTGGAGTTTCGGACTTTGAACAAACTTACAAGGGCATCAGTAGCAAACGCAAAGCTTCTCTCTTTTGAATTTGCAATGACTTTCTGGAATGCTAATCATGGCATGGCAGCTTCATAAAACTCAAAAGATCAGCCTGCCCTTGATTTTTAGATAAAAGGAGTGGTAAAATAATGGTTTTTAATCATGGGTTACAATTATTATTATTTTTTTTTCGTTTTTTTGAAGATTGTTTTCACAAACATGCTTCCAAATTTGTGGGAACAGGTGTTTTCTGGAGAAAAAAAATGACCTCATGCCCATCAAACACCTTTGGGGTGACATCTCACATTATAAAAGCAAAATAATACTCATAAACAATTCACTTAGTCCCTCTACAAAATCTCAGAAAAATATGTTTTGTTCCGTTTTCCCAATTTGCAGCTCGTAAAGGTTTTGTTCCCTGATGCAGCCGTTGAATAGGCTTGCCCTTTCACAGGTATTTCTGTACTCGGCCGGTATGGTCGAGGGATTAGAGAAGCAAAGCGCCGTGTTGCCATGGTTTCAGTTTTGGCTCTGCCACACTCCCGACTCTAAGGATATGTTCTTTGTTGGCCTTAAGTATCACACTAATTGTAAGTGAGAAGAGCAGACAAGTACATGCTTACACAATAGAGAGATAAGATTTGGAGTCGTTACGGACAGGATGACCATTACGGCCGCCCGTGCACTGGCCGCTTTTCAGCTTTTTAATTGGGCGGGGGGGGAGAAAACAAAAAACACTTGGTTTCATTTCTATTGACTACCATCCATCCTTTTCACTGTATTTTGAATCGTGAAATTCATCAGCATCTCATCTATTCAGCCAGCCATTTCTCAATCCACTTTGCTTGCCTGCTCACTAATGAATGTTTTACGAAGGAGAAAACACTGATGTCAAGGTTATGTTCAAATCTAAAAAAAATAAATAATAATATACACATTGCAACGTTGACAAGGTCTTTACTGATTGGCTGAAAGACTTAATGGCATTCGAACAAACTAAGGTGCGAAGAAGGAAATCAGACCGAGGTTGATGAGGATGGAGTCGATTAGTCAAGAAGTAGACACTTTCCTTCTTCTTGAGGTTAAAAAGGCAGGAATTGAAAAAAAAAATGAATGGGGTTTTATTTTTGATAAATTGTAATGAATCTGACCTTCATTTAATGTTCCAATGGCACCAAATGTAAGGGACCTCCAGTGACAAGTACAAGCTAAAAAAACGGCAGAATTAAGAGCAAATATGTTGAGATCCAATAGAATACTACCGTGGCTGAGGCGGTCCCAAATAAGCTCAGAGGAACAGGTGGCTGTCCAACAAAACGACGTCTGGCGTATTTTCACGTGTCAACCTTTCTTGCAACTTGTCCATATTCAGTTTTGAAACAAGCTCAGAGGAACAGATGGCTGTCCTCAACAAAACGACGTCTGGCGTATTTTCACATGTCAACCTTTCTTGCAACTTGTCCATATTCAGTTTGTTGTCCATCTTCATCGTTTATTGGATTGATTTCAGGTCCTTGCTTCTCTTTTTTTTTCCTTTTCATAAAGTTGCTGGTTTTCTCCCCTGGCTCACCCAAGCTCCTTTTCCGCAGCAGAACTCGCAGTCAAGCCTGAGGCTTGTCTCAGCCTCCCTGAAGTACACACTTGCAGGTACTGTAAGCCCCCCCCCCTCCACAACATAATCAGACAGCATAACACTGGTGAAAATACAAACTGTGTAATGCAGTGTAGTTATACATTTTTCATTTTTCTTCGCCCTCTGGGTGCAACTCATGAGGGAGACGTGATGCCGACTCGAACAGATTGAAAGGTTACTCTCTTGAAAAGTATACTCACTTTGTTAGCAAGTCTACGGGTGGGTCATTGCATACTCGCAGTGCCCGGTTGAACGTATTAACTTATTATAAACTTGCAGGTTGAGGTGAAACAAGGCCAAAAATAAGGATAGTCGGATTTGCAAAAACTGTTTCTGAGCATTGTATGAAACTGACATTCCAAACTGAAAGTCGCTAGTCAAGAGGCTATTCATGCCTGAAGACGAAGAAAGCACAGCTTTCATTCTGAAAACAATTAACAATGAAAGTGACGTGACCCGAGAAGAGAATGTGACACATTTGCATCAGGAAGAAAGAATTTAAAAAAAACAAAAAAAAAACAAATGCTGATCCAGTGACTGGGGGAGAAAAAGGTTGCCCTGCTGTTTCATAAATTCAAATGCATAAGAGAGGGTAATAATCTTCACAGCTAATCACGCGGCCGAGATGCCCGCAGGTCCAGTCAAGAACGAAGTGATGTCGTGCCAAGTGGAGCTGCGCATGGCTGCGTCCTCGTCACAGAGCCTACAGCTCCACTTCTGCGCTAACAAGTGCTCTGGTGCAAAAGTACTCCACTTGGCTTCCGCAGTGTCGAGTACGGTGCAGGTGTCATAAACGTTTCCATAAAAAATTGTGAGACAGCGAAACCACTACGTCGGATTTCCTTCGATTTTCAAAATGGTTTTGCCATTGGACGTACTGTATGCACTTCCTGTTGTGTTTTAACATTCTGTATCATATCCGCCCAATATGATATCGTGCATATTATGCAAAGTAGAATGTAGCTCGATGTCATGGAGTGAAAAATAGCATTTTTCCGGAAGAAAAATAATAAAGTACAGTTTTAAGTACGTTGCATAAAACTACTCTGAGAAGTACAATTCATCCCAAAAGTGAATTTAAATGTGACGATCGCCCACTGATCGTGACTGGCCAACTCCTGTCAAAAAGTACCTGATTGGCATTTGTCGATCATTGCCAATCACAAACCCGATCACCCGCCGCTTGTATTTTGCAGCCTGCAGTCAACCAGAGCCCAGCCTGTGTGCATTTTCTGCCTTATCAATTTGAATTAATGTCTTGTTTGGATGTAATAAAGGGAAACTTAGATAGAATATGTTGAGGGGGCAGAGGGGGGAGGTTCATTGAAAAAAAAACTGACAGATTAATCATCTCAATAATCGTTAGTGGGCAGCTCAAAAATTGAAACTGTGCAGATAATCTATCCATCCACCCATCCATCCATTTTCAACAGCGCTAATCCTGTAGAGGGTTGCGGGGCGTGCTGGAACCAATTCCAGCTGACTTGGGGCGGAAGGCCAACTACACCCTGAACCATTCACACCCACATCCACACCGTCACCGCCTGCACACAAGTTAGGCAAGTGTCCCACTACACCATCAGTGACTTGCAGATAACCCCTGAGATCGAAATCGATTTCGGACGATCTCACGCTTGGGTGATCGGTTTCGGAATTAACAGCACAAAACCCTGATCGGACCACCCCTCGTCCGAACACATAATGCATTGTTGGGCGTTAGGGTGGTCCATTTTGGAAAAGTTTGTCGGATTCGTCGGGCCGGGTCGGAAATCTTGTCGATACTATGACACAAGGATGTGTGCAAAATTTTATTCCGATCGGATAATTTTATCCCGTCCCGCAGAGCGACCAAAGTTTCCCCTATGGAAAGAATGTTACGGGGCTGAATGGTAGTACGGTTTCTCCCGTACAGTAAGGATTTTGTTTTGCTCAGTTCGCACTTGCAATAATTCAAAGACGGAAGACAGGAACGCATGTATTGCAAAAAAGGCAACCGTGGTTATCCTTCAACACTGGTGAGATTGTTGGTCCATGTTAACTGGTCCATCTGTCTATCTGTCCATCTGTCTATAATGTCCATCAACACTAGTGACACTGTTAGACCGCAAAAAAAACGAAATCCGCCGTGCGTGCCATCCCATGCCTACTTCGCGCACGGGTGCAACGCCCGGTGTCGCTCCACGACCTGCAGAAGGTGCTGTCGCTGTTCCTCGTCGCGCGTGATGGCGCCGCAAAACGCGCTGATGAGGGCGACGCCCCTCTCCGCAAAGTCGTTCACCACCCGTAGGTGACGAGCGCGCCGACGAGCCGTGGTGATGTTCGATGTCGAAAAGCGTCCTCAGCTCAGCGTCCAGTAAGAATTCCGGCGATTCTCGACTTCAATTGAAAGATATTAGCTCGCCAGTAGGTGACCGTTGTGTGTTAGGCGTGCGTTTGAGTTTGTCTCCGGCTGCTGAGAGCAGCGATGGAATGGTTAGTTAGTCAGGAGGTGATCGTTCGGGCAACATTCAGCCCAGCCAGTGTCACGCATGGCAAAATACACTGTTAAAATACACATGTTCACCCTATTGAGACCAGTTGTTATGGTGGAAACTTTGGCCGCTTTGCGGGACGGGAAAATATCATCAGATCGGAATGAAATTTTGCACAGAACCTTGTACCATAGTATCGACAAGAATTCCGACCCGGCCCGACGAATCCGACAAACTTTTTTTTTTGCCATGAAAATGTGGACCACCCTATTGGGCGTGCTTTATTCCCCCAATCCACAATGTCCAAAATAAACTATTGAAAGTAATTATGAGACATTTTCAAAAGATTCTTTTTAACTAGAGTCTTAAAGTTCAAATCGTTTTTTTCCTGGGGGGTGGGAGGGGTTGTGCCCTATCAATAACTATCAAATATTTACACCTACTTCCCTGTTACGTGTCTGTCAGGTGTCTTCACCTCAAAAGTACTTTTATAAGGAGGTTTATTTGCTGATATTTTATATTGTAAGGCTTGTGTTACAAAATCCAAAAAAAAATGAGCACTTTGCCCACCTGGTGTCCTCCTGCTGTGAACACGCACGCTATGAAAGATTATTTTTCTTTCCTGCCGCTGCGCTGGTGTAGCCTCCCCCCCTGACAAAGGTGGCCTATTTTCAGGCCCGGGCATCCTCGCTCTTGTCACACCTGCGCCGCCTTCTTGCTGACGGTGCACCAATCTCCTCTTTGTGCTTGCTCATATATCACTTCTCCCGTGCGCAAATTAATCATTACTTGTAAATCTTCCCTCACGCTGTGCACTTTTTTAAAGTCGTTACATTTATTGCATATAAAGGCCGTCTCTGTGAGAATTCCGGTAGAGTCGGGGTAACGGTGGGTGAATTAACGACACTCACTTTATTTTCCTCAAATATATTTAATAAGCGTCGCCTTAGATGCTCCCAAGGGACCATTCCAAAAGCTGACAAAGGGAATTTATTTCGTTGGGTGTTAAGGGTGTGATTTGGGCCGGAGAGTTACGCCGTAATCCTTGCAGAGGCGTTAGGTGCCGGTCCGGCCAGCCATTTCATTTTATCCACCCAGGGCCCTTGCTTTGTTTTTTTCCCCTCCGTCAAGTGCTAGAAAAGGCGGCAAGGCTTTATATTGTCTCCTTATTACCGCCTGTCCCGATCTGCAGCATCCTTGTCGGGGATTTTAGGCGGCGGACGTTGTCAGCCGTTTGACTCGGTAAACAACACACTTCATCCTGTTGTAAAGGATCCGCAGAGCACCTGGAAAATACAAAACATACACAGAGGCTCTCCAGTTTACAATGGTGCCAATATACAACAATTTAGGGTTATAAGTGGCGCACAACTAACTAGTTTATGCACACGTAGAAGAAGTATTTCTTTTTTTAAGTACAAGTACCTACATTCAAGTTCTCGCGGGGACAGAGTCGACAGATACTTGCCATTATATCTTGCAATTGTGATGAAAATGTGCTTTACTTCAGTCCATCATTGTTCAAAAACACAAAACCTGAGCACGACATGTTTCACTGAAATATAACACGACTCTCGATGCTTTACTTCAGTCCAACATTGTTCAAAAACACAAACCTGAACACGACATGTTTCACTGAAATATAACACGACTCTCGGAACAACTTGTCGTTACAACACGACACCGCTAACAGAGTAAACTCAATGAAAACACCTGCCGCAGCCATTACGTGACTCCTTACAGAAATAAGAAAGTCACTGAAGAGCAAGCCAGCATTAATTACACACACAAAAAAATGGGTGAAAAATAATGTACGGAGAAAAAAAATACAGCAAAACTGACAGTTTTATCCGTGAAACTAATGAACAACTAAAACTCAGTTCAGTACAGAAAAATGTCTTTCCGTCCTCAAAATGTCCCTTTACATGTGACAAAGACCACCATTTGGGCTCATTGCAATGGTATACAGAAGGAAAGTCGGGCTTTTATTACCGTATTTTCTGCACTATAAGCCGCTTCGGGTTACAAGGCATACCTTCGGTGAATGGCCTATTTTAAAACTGTTTTCATCTATAGGGCGCACTGCGTTATAAGGCGCATAGATTTGAAGCTGTGTCATGCATCCACTAGATGGAGCTATGCTAAAGGGAACACAATACAATACAGCTTTATATACCTCGCGGGCTCACATCCACAAGGGGCTAAATATCCTTAGAAGTCTTGCTTGTCTCCTTCTTCCTTCGTTTAGTCAGTCGTTTACTATGCTTTTGGTATTATCTTCGTTTCATACTGGCTGCGCCTTATAGTGCGGAAAATACGGCATATTAGTCAACCACGCAAATGCATTTTTGCAGTTACAGGCAAACATTCTTGACATTTTTAGTCATTTGATAGATGAATCTCAACGACAACAATGGGCCGTCTGCACAAGGTTGGTGATGCTGCTGCTGATCTAGATTAGAATTGTTTGGCCTCGGTGGAGGTTAGGTTTTAAGAGCTTTCAGGTTGTTGAGAAATACTGCCGGAAATGTTGCGCTTCACCT